ATGAAAAACAGTCATTGAAGCAGCAGTAAAAGGATCCATAAGTCGCCTATTTGGACGTTAAATGTAGCCCGTTTCTTTTTCTTTTTAACATCCAATTGAACCAGCAATATTGGAACAAAATAGTCAATAAAATAATAACAAAAAGATTAGAAATTATACAAAATTGTCTTAACATATCAACATTTCTAATGAGATAGGTGGATCTGTCTGTGTTTTTGTAGCCTGTTCCAGTCCAGGTGCAGGAGGAGAGCGCAGCAGCAGATCAGACGCAGCATTCAGTCTGTTTCTGTGCTTTGTTTTCATTTTTGTGAGAACAGAAAATCCCAATTCACACATATATGTAGTAGTGAAAGGAATAAACATAGAAATACTGACCAAATGCTTCTCCAGAATAATAATAAGGCCACAGATCCATGTATAAAACTGTATATTGCAGACCTACATGCAGATCGTGACAAGGTGACCCCCCCAAAAAATGTCTTGCGACTCACCTGAGGAACGTGACCCAGTCTTTGGAAAACAATGGTTTAAATGCCCTATATTACGCAAAACTGACTCTTGTGAGCTAAGCTATGTTATCATCAAAAACAGACCTTTAGTTGTATTTTGTTTGATTCACACATGTTTGAGTAATCCTTTATTATTAACAGACTATTATTAACAGCTCCTTTTACCTTTACTTTAGTAGAGATTGGCAATTCCAAGGCTGAAATCACCCAAATGATTCTAGTGAAGGTGTATGGACCAACGAGGCTCATTTGGTCTTCCGATAATTTATGTTATTAGGTAATTTTTTCAGACCAAGAGTTTGTTTTCGAATGCCAGTGGAGGCAGTGCCCAGACACGTCACAGCAACAGTGAGCAGTCGAAACTGTCAAGAACGAAAACAAACTCTTGGTCTAAAAAAAAGAACCTAATAACATGAAGCTGTATGGAGTTTAGAAACATAGCACATGACATCACAAGGTGGAACTGTGTGTTTTCTGTTCAGCCTAAATATGCAGAGTTTGTGTGTTAAACAGGGATGTAACGATATCCAAATCTCTCTGTGCGATATTATCACGATATGAATCTCACGGTACGATATTTATTGCGATATTTTAAAGAGGCTGATATAATTGTAGATAGGACACTTTTTTTACTTTTAAAACTTTCCGTCATAATCCCAAGAATTTAAGTTAAAAACATATTTCTTCATGTTGTCTGCGCTGAAATGAATCATGGGATATGTAGTTCCTGATATTCATAAGGTGTTGCTACTATAAAACAATGAGTGCGTATACATGCATATGAGTATCCTGGTTATGATTGGGTTTTTTGAGTATCCCGGTTTCATCATGGTGCATGTATAAGGTTTCAGTATCCCGGTTATGAGAAACCAGGTTATTGTAGCTGGTATTTTCCGATAGTACCGACCAGGATACTGTGGCATGTATACCCAGTCTCCCCGGGTACTGCAACATAAATTTGAGTGCGCATGCATCCAAAAGACATAGTTTTCAGTCTTTTCACCACTACAACAGCGACATAAATAAAGTGACCATACATGAGTGAAATGGCTGCGCTAAACCTGCACAGAAATCTGCACTCGTACAACCTGCACACATATGATCGCTGAAAAGTCATCTCCTATACGATATACGCACAGAACACACTTACTATCATCAGCCACTCCTCTGTCACAGAAAAAAACACATATATTCCACTGAGTTGTGTCCTTTAGTCTGAACCGCATCAGCAGCACAAGGAGCTAATTAGCCATGCAGTCTTAGATTCTATAAAATGTAAACAAATGAGACAAAGCTGAATTATATTATCAAATGAGCTGATGTGGTTGTGGTTCATATGTTATAGAGCTGAGTGTATTTATGCTGAATATTTTAATTTAAAAAATCTACACGTTGGGTTTGATGTGTGCAGTGGATTGTGGGATACCTCATAGCTCGTACCGCTGGTTAGAACCTGTGGATCTATTAAAATAACCTCCCCAGCTTCCTGTTTGCATTTTTCCTGGTTTATTAACTTAAATTAGGTTAATTTTTGAGACGGCGCATTTGTAAGATTATGTCAAGAAACCGGGATACTCTATTTCAGGGGTGTCAAACTCATTTTGGTCCGGGGGCCGTATCCAACCTACTTTGATCCTAAAGGGGCCGGATCAGAAAACTCATGTCATATAAACCCCAAAAATAACAATAAGTTCAAATATTTGTGCAGAGAAACACAAATCTATTACAGAAATCTTTTTTAATTGATGAACTCTTTCTTTTACAAAATATTATAATATTATGAACCTGAAACTTTGTGTTGAAATTACATTTTTCTTAATGTTTTAACTTGAACTTGTATGTAAATAGGAATAAGTTCATTTTTCTTGTAAAATCCTGCACTCGGCTCCACTTTTCTCATGTTGGACATTTTTCTGATGAGGGTGTCACGGTCAACAGTCAAAACGATCGTCCTTTAAGAGCGTTTGGAAAGAGACAAGTCTTCATTTGTGCTGTTCTGGTGGGAGGGGCCACGTACAGAGACACTGGAGACGCTGCTGTGATAAACACCACAGAAAATTACCAATATTTTAATAGAAAATATAATTAAAATATTTTTGTAGAAAATCACCCAAGGGCCAGATTAAAAGTCTTGGAGGGCCGGATCTGGCCCCCGGGCCGTATGTTTGACACCTGTGCTCTATTTGATCATGTGTACACGAATAGGAGTATCTCAGTTTAACGCAGTAACCCGACTACTACCATAACCGGGATACTGACGTGCATGTATACACACTCACTGTATTTAAGCAAAGGGACTTGTAATTCGATATATTGTGACCGCCCGTGATATTATTGTGAGACTTTTGACGATACGATATCACGATATTTCAGTTATTGTCACATCAGTAGTGTTAAATATGTGTGAATGTTTCAAAACACAACTCCAGGTGTGTTTTCGAGGAGGTAACAACATGATAACGTGGCTTAAACTTGCATTGTGAATTACTACTGAAGAGACAGAGACAAGCAGATGCATCAAAAAAAGTGACGTAATACACCCTTAAGTATGGGGATTACTCTATTTTTGGCTCGCTTCTCCCAACACCTGTTTGAGCATTTCCTTGACAAACTTCTCTCTGCTCTCATGAATCGCCGAAGCAAAAAGAAAACAAACAGCTAAACCCCTCGCAGTGAAAGAGGCTCTCACATTTACAGGCAGATCAGGTCTGGGGCTGTTCTCTCATTTACACTGCCTCCCCAGGGGACCTCTCTCTCTCTCCCCCCTCTCCCCTATTCTCTCTCTCTCTCTCTCTCTGTACTTCCCTCCTCCCTTTTCTTTTACTTGACCTCCCTCCCTCTCTCTCTCTCCGTATGTCTTACTTTCTTTCGCTTCATTTCTTCACTTTATCCTCCTGTCCTTTCCTCTACTCTGTCCTTAACTCTCCCCTTTCTCTCCTCTCTTCTCCTCCTCCTCCCTCTAACTCTTTAATCCCTCCATCTTTGTCTTCCTATCTGCCCCTCTCTCTTCTCTCTCTTCACTCGTTCTCTTCTCTCTATTCACCATTCCCTCGCTAATCCTTGTTTTCCACTCTCTCCTCACTCCCTTCCCTCTCTCTTTCTCTTCACACTCCTTTCTTTCTCCGCCTCCATGCCTCTGTCTCTCTCTCTCTCTCTCTCTCTTCACTCTTATCTCTTCTCTGTTCATCATTTCCTCTCCCCCTCTCTCTCTTTCTCTACTTTTTATCCACCCATCTCCCCCTCTCTCTTTCTCTTCTGATCATTATCCACTTCCCCTTTCTCTTCGCTCTTTCCCCCGTTTTCACCTCTGTCTTCCTCTACTCCTTCTCCTCCCCTCTCCTCTATCTCTCTATCTTCACCCCCTTTACCCTCTCCTCTTCTCTCTCTATCTCTCTTCAGTCTCCTCCCTCTCTTTCCCTTTCTCTCTCGCTACTATTTCCTTCTCTCTCTCTCTCTCTCTCTCCCCCTCTTTTCAGTCCTCTCTCTCTCTTTCCCTTCTTTCTCTACTTTTATCTTGATTCGCCCTTTACCCTTTCTCTCTCTCTCTCTCTCTCTCTGTCTCTCTCTCTCTCTTCAGTCCCCTCCCTCTCTTTCCCCCTTCTGACTCTCTCTCTCTCTCTCTCTCTCTCTCTCTCTCTCTCTCTCTCTCTCTCTCTCTTCAGTCCCCTCCCTCTCTTTCCCCTTCTCTCTACTTTTCTCTTCTCTCTCTCTCTCTCTCTCTCTCTCTCTCTCTCTCTCTTTCTCGCTCTCTCTCTTTCTCTTCAGTCCACTCCCTCTCTTTCTCCTTCTCTCTACTTTTCTCTTCTCTCTCTCTTTCTCTCTCTCTCTCTCTCTCTGTCTCTCTCTCTCTCCAGTCCCCTCCCTCTCTTTCCCATTCTCTCTCTCTATTTTTATCTCGACTCACCCTTCCGCCCCGTCTCTCTCACCCTTCCTTCCCTATTTCCTCCCTTTCTCTCTCTCTCCTCTCTCTCTCTCCACCTTTCCTTCTCCCCCTCGTTTCTTTCTTCTCTCTCTTCTAACCCTCTCTCTCTCCGCCTTTATCTCTATTCACTCTTTCCTCTCCTTCTTCACACCCTTTTCTCTCGCACGTTCTTCTCTTCCTCGTCTCTCTCTTCAGTTCCCCTCCTCTCTCTCACTTTCCTTCTCTCTCCACCCCTCTCCCCTCCTCCTTCCCTCTCTCTCTCTCTCTTCCTTCATTCCATTCCCTCCCTCGCGCTCTCACTCTCGCAGAAGTCCGGGGATCCCAATCCGTCACTTATGACATCACGGCGTTCTCCGGCGAACCACTCGTGAACACGGGGAGTCCCCACTCGTCTGTCCCCGCCCGCTCGGCCCACTCGCTCCTTTAACCCCCCCCCCCCCCCCCCCCCCCGAGCGGACGAGTGCGCACGCTGTTAGCCTCCGTCTCCATGGCAACGCTGCTCGGAGAGGAAATACCACCAGCCTACTTGAGAAGCCCCGAACGCAATCTTGTTTTTTTTTTTTTTTTTGCTCATATATTTCCTCCCTCGCTTCATATCTCCTTCCTGACTGATTGATTTTTTTCTTTTTCATTCCCTCCGTTGCTCTACCCCTTCCCTTTCTCTTACCCTACACCCACCCACTTTCACTCTCTCTCTCCCTCTCTCTTTCTCCTTTTCTCATCTGTCAGTTTAAGTTCATTGCCAGCTGAGGTAAGCCGCTCTTTCTTGCTCAAAACACATGCAATTCCACTTTAGATTCTGCACTACTTTCAACCTGCTTTTACTACGACTACTACTACTACTACTACTTCTTTTACCACTATCTCCTTCTCGACTGGACTTTGTATACACATTTCTGCAGCTCTGTTAGTTCAGCGTGTACTCTGCCGGCGTTTCATGTGTGTACTTTGTAGTTTGCAGGTCGGCTCGAGCTGCAAATGATCAAACGTGCTCGGCTGTACATCGTATTTGTTGTCACTAACGGCTCCCTCGACTGTGCGGGTGCCGGTTGCCTCTGTGCGTTATTGTCACACCCTCTTTTATGCCTCTGTCAGTGATTTAAAGTTTAAACTGTGTCATGAGTCCCAAAGGTAAACAGTGGAAAATTAAAGTGAGGGTAGTGAATATTTTGGAAAAGGGTTGTGTAAATATTGACCCATTATAACGGAAGAGTAAACAATAGGCTTTTGTATTCCATCTTATAAAGTATACGTCTTGTGTGTCTTATGTGAGGTAACGGTTGCTCAAGTAGTATTACAAAATAGGCGATTCCTGCTCCGACTTGTGCATATTTTTGTGTCCTTGGGCAAAACACTTCCCCGCCTGGTGCATACTGTGTACCGTTTTTTCCCAAAGACTGGATCTCAACCACTATTTTTAAGTCGCCTTGTCACGATCTGCATGTAGGTTGAAATGTTAAGACATGTTTTGTATAATTTCTAATCTTTTTGTAATTATTTTATTGACTATTTTGTTCCAGTATTGCTGGTTCAGTTGAATGTTGAAAAGAAAAACAAATGGGCTACATTTAATGTCCTAATAGGCGACTTGTGGATCCTTTTATTGCTGCTTCACTTACAGTTTTTCATTGTATAAAACTTGAGTAATACTAATTGTTCAGAGAGACAATAAAATATCCTCATTAATGTTCAATAATGGTCAAATCCACCTTTATTTTGTGATTTACGAATAATGTCTATTGACTTGGGTCTTGAAGGTTTGTGACTTTTAAAATATGGGTCCGCAGAAAAAAAAGTTTGGGAAACACAGCCGTATACTATACTATATATATATATATATATATATATAGATATATAGATAGATATAGATAGATAGATATAGATAGATATAGATAGATAGATATATATATAGATAGATATAGATATATATAAAAGAATCTTTGATGTACTGTATTTTCGAATACATGTTCAGTTTTTCATGCCCATATTTAAAAACAATCTCTAAAATCAGCTTTATAAAAGTTGGGCGGTTAAGTGTCTTGCCCAAGGACACAACAGCATTGATGTGTAGGAGCTGAAATCTAATCATCCAAAGTGTAGGAAAGTGAATCTGATCTTTCTCCAAATGATGTTTTACCAAGAGCGGGATTCGAACTGCCAACTCCACCAAGTATTCTTAGCAATATAGAACCAAAACACCAGTATTTACCAAAAACAAAACAAAAAAAGCTAAATTTAATGCCATACAATGAAATATTCCAAGTAAAGCTAGAATAAATCCATGGATACAAACAAGATGTGGATCACCTCTCATAAAAGTTACATAATGCTTCTTTAATACACTGGCTGCAGTTACATTCACACCCAAATTCTAATTGTTATCAGATTTCCTGAGTTATAAAACAATTCAAATGAAATGTAAACAGAAAAATTATCAGATTTCTCTGATCATGCTCCCTCTGATGGTGTGGTTTGTGTATTTTAAGCTCTTTCTCATACATTTTTCCACCTAATGTTTGATTGTAATTGTTTTCATACTGTGATGTGAAGAATACTTTGAACATGTATTTAGTCAGAGAATACTCAATACCTGCATTAAAAAGTATTTTGTAATGTATTCTGTAGTGGTGTGTACAAAAATATCGAAATATCAATATATCGTATCGCCTAATGTGATGATACAGTATCAGCTGCTGTATCAATTTATTGCCAAGAGTATTTTCTAGTATAGTCTGCGCAATTATTTTGTTACAGCTACAGTTTTGTTGCTTGTTTAGAGGAAGGAAACTCGTTTATGCAATAATAATACGTAAAATGTTTGTGTTTCATCTGAACTTTGCACAAGAAGTGGTTTAACCCTCTCAGGCTCAAATTAATTTTTAGTATCAGGAAAAATCTGATATTTGGGGAAAATTATAATATGGGGTAGTAATATACAATTCTGACTTTTTTATCCTTTGTAAACAAAAAAAGTATTTTGCACTTCTTGCAGGCTGTTTGCTTGTAGCCATTCTTGCAGTCTCCATCGTCCACGTTTATCAGCATGGATGGGAAAAAAGGCTCCTGAGTAAAAAAAGCTCATATAATATGGATGTGGACTAAGTAGGTACTTAGAATTTAGCTGTTGCAAATCTGCAACGCCTGCCTGGAGAACAAAGACTTTTAGTATCACAGACTTATTTTAGCCTTTATTTTTATTGAACCATATCAAATCAGTTTGAAATATATCGTACTGATTTGAAAGTGCACTGTATTGAGATATGTATCGTATCGTGTCCTGTGTCTCGAGATATGTATCGTACTGTGGCCAATATATCGGGATATGTATCATATTGTGGCCTATGTATCAAGATATGTATCGTATCATGGCCTATGTATCGAGATATGTATCGTATCATGGCCTATGTATCGAGATATGTATCGTATCATGGCCTATGTATCGAGATATGTATCGTATCGTGTCCTGTGTCTCGAGATATGTATTGTATTGTGGCTTATGTATCAAGATATGTATCATATTGTGGCCGATATATTAAGACATGTATCGTATTGTGGCCTATGTATCAAGATATGTATCGTATTGTGGCCGATCTATCGAGATATGTATCGTATCGTGGCCTATGTATCAAGATATGTATCGTATCGTGGCCTTTGTATCGACATATGTATCGTATTGGCAACTTTTTAATGATTCCCAGCCCTAGTATTCGGATATATGGTCCAGTCAGAGTACTGTATTCCGTATACTTAGAATACTTTCACGTAGGGTTGCCTTTAAATACTAGAGTTAAAACACATTATAGACCAAAATATAAGAACAGTTTCATAAAAGTTTGTTCAGCTTCTCCTGTCACTAAATAGAGAAGAAAAAAACACACATGCATATGCTTTAATGAGTGATATTTTCCATTTTTCTCCTTGATTATGTGCAATTTGAAGCTTAAAGGTGCGTTGTGTAACTTTTCTGGTGGAGGGTCTGTCACCTGCTTGTCAATAATGTTCCACAGTATGGCATTAAACAGATTTATCTTTCATTTATTCCATTACAGGTAGTTTTATAGCTCTAAAATAGTTAGAAAAACAGGCATTCTGATTGTGAGCGGGGTCGCCTCTTCACAGATCTGACCTGTAACTTGGTCCGGTTTGGTCCTCGTGATGATAGAAAGGTTTAATGCCATATTGTGAAACATTCCAGACAAAGCAATGACATCTCTATGGAGACAAGCACCAGAAAAGTTACACAATCCACCTTTAAATTGTGTGACCAAAAAAAAGTAACTGTAGCAGAATACAAGTACTCTGATTACATATTCTGAGTACATGAATTGAGTTACTTCCCAACACTGTTTTCTTTTAGGCTATCACCATAAATTGGAGTAAAATCTGACAGATCGTGGGACTTGTTTGAAAAGGTTCATTGGAAATATCACGTCCACAAGGTCTGGCTCCAGATGTGATGATCTCAACGTGTTTAAGTCTCGTGTTGTTCTGTAACCAAGGCCTCCACATGTATTTGGGTCCAACGTCTGACTGAACCTGTGCCAAAAATCCTAAAGGATCTCCTGTTTGGTTTAAAGGGCTATTCCGTTACGTAACACCCAAATTATTCAAACAATTTATGGAAATGGCGATGATTAAAGAAAAAGAGAGTCACACATGTGGAAAAAACGCCAACCTGGTTGAAGAAGATGTTTATATAAAGAGAGAAGACAATAAATTATACGATCAAGGGAGTCATTCAGAGTTAAGCGTGACTAAGCATATGTAGGTCAATGGAGATTAGAAAATGGCCACTTCTGGTATAACAGGGTATTAGATAAAATCCCATTGAGTTCTATGTCTCAACTACACAATGGATATAAAGTTCACAGAGGTAGAAGTGAAGATCAGATTTCAAGTAGGTCTTAGTCACATAATAAAGCTTTGTTAGCATTATTATTACTGTATATTTAAAAGTCTTAGGCTACGTTCAGACTGCAGCCTGAAGTGACCCAAATCCGATTATTTCACCCCTATGTGACCTGTATCTGATCTCTTAAAGACAGTCTGAACGACACAGATCCGATTTTTTCAAACACGACTCAGGACACTTGTAGCCAGGCTGGTGCCACCTAGTGCCTCCGTTCAATTTCATTTCTCTACAGCGACTAGGTCAGGAATCAAAATACACTAGACAGTTTGCAAAAACCCCAGAAGTGCAAGTTCAGGCACCAGCCAATCAGAGAAGAGTCATATATTCAGTGTTCGTCAGCGATTCCCGAGATCGAGGATTTAAAGTTGGAATAAAGAGAATGTTTGGTGAATTTCATCAAGGGAAAAGACGTTATTGCCCTTCTTCCTATAGGATCTGGGAAAAGCTTAATATACCAGTTAGCCCCGTTAGCGGCGCATTACATACATCACGATCAAATAGCAGCGACTGGTTAAATAATAATAGTACCCGCCTACCATCAAGCGACCAAAATCTAAGGCTGCGAGGTCAGACCTTTTATACGAAGTGAAACAAAAAAAAAAACAAAAAAAAAACGACTGATGAATCAGGCTAGGCCACTTGGATATGTGCTCCTAAAACTGATACATATCCGATCTTTTGACATGCGACTTCAGTCTGAACGGTCAGGTCACATTCATCCCACCTACACGTCAGGCTCAGTGTCTAGTTAGTGGAGGGAAAGCGAAGTTAGCGAGTTTAATACTTGGGGGGATCGTTGTATTCAGGCCAAATTGGAGGGGTCTTATCGGAACCGGACGGTTTTAGAAATGATTACCAAAGAAATGTCCGAGCACAGGTACAGGCCGTCCTGGCTCCAATGTCAATGAAAAATGAAGAGTCTTTGAGCCAAATACAAGGAGGATAAACACTCAAACAAACAAAGCGACCGTGGACGTGTAACCTGTCCATTTTACGAAGAACTGGACCATATTTTGGGAGACAAGCCCAGTGTTTAGGCAACAACCTGAGCTCACTCGCTGCAGGTGATGTCGTCGTGTCCTCCAACGTAAATGCTTGACACTTTTGGGGCGTTTATAGTTCACACTGGAGCTCACATACAAGTTGCATTTAATTGGAAATGTGAACGACCTCGCAAAAAAATCGGATTTCACAAAAAATCCAAACTGAGCGTTAAGTCCTGCAGTCTGAACATAGCCTAATATTACACAAAATTGACTCTTGTGAGCTTTAAACCATGTTATAATGTTGTTACCTCATCAAAAACACACCTAGAGTTGTGTTTCATTTCTGCATTATTAGTCTGTCTACATCTCTAAAGCTCAAAATGCTCTGCTCCACCTCGTGATGTCATGAAGCAGTAGTTTTCAAGTTAACATAAAAATAACATAATATGGACACAGTAATATGGATTTTTTTTCTATTTTTTTAAATTTCCTGACATTTACAATTTTAGTTCCCGGTTAGATATGAGCCCCAGACATTCCATAACTGTTCTAGCAACCAAGAGCCGAAACCTGTCTAAATTTAACAATAGTTCTGATTAGACTAATACAAATAAACAACGTCACGTCTAGTTTGTTAAATGAAGGTTTAATCTGTCTGAAAAATGCCTTCCTTGCACGTAAACTGTCCCTGTATTTTTGTTTTCATAGCTTCTTTTCTTCTCTTGTCAAAATTTCAAAATGCTCTGTTTTTAGCGGAAGTAGGTGTTAGGTAGTTGAAGCAATCGTGAAAGGACCAAGATTGCATTAAGCTGTAGTTTCTAGCCTGGTGAACCAACCGTTTCACTTTTTGCATACATTCTGTACTTCTTTTGGCTCACCAGACAAGTCACAGCAACATTTTCTGTAATTGTAGGAGTTCTGTCAGTTTTGGGTCGTGTCCGAACTTGCCTTTTCTCTGTCCCTGTACTGGCCATAAATCTATGCTACAAGTTGTATTAGCAGTAGTAGTAGTAGTAGTAGTAGTAGTAGTAGTAGTAAGAGGCTAATTGTAGACTCTATTGTGTGTTTTTATATCCTTTCTTGACATTTATGTTTGCATTAACCATTCAAATCAAAGTATTCTTTCATTCAAATGGTCAAAAGTCCCCAAAACCTGAAGCTGAAAGAAGTGTAGAAGGTTATAGTAGCAGTAGCTGTAGGAGTAGTAGTTTTTTGGCATATTCTGCTACAGGGAAATACTTTTTAGGTAGGCTAGGAGTTGTAATAGTAGTAGTAGTGGGTGGTGTCTGAACTTGCTGTCTCTTTTCTGTCTTGTCTTGACTCCATCATATTGCTCAGACCACAGTAGTCATATAATAATAGGAGTAATAGTAGTTAGTAGTAGTAATAGTAGCAGTAGTAGTAGTAGTAATAGTAGCAGAAGTAGTAGTAGTAGTAATGCTTTGGTAGTAAGATGCTGAACAGTAATAATTTGTTTTGTAATTGTAATGGAATAGTAGTAGTAATAGTAGTAGTAGTAGTAGTAGTAGTAGTAGTAGTAGTAGTAGTAGTAGTAGTAGTAGTAGTAGTAGTAATAATGCTTTGGTAGTAAGATGCTGAACAGTAATAATTAGTTTTGCAATAGTAATATAATAGTAGTAGTAGTAGTTGTTGTTGTTGTTGTAGTATCTGTAGTATCTCAGGTTGTATTATAAAATAGGTGGTTCCTGCTCCAATTTGTTTTTATATGTATGAATTTGATTTGTACTTTATGTTGTAGTAGTAGTAGTAGTAGTAGTAGTAGTAGTAGTAGTAGTAGTAGTAGTAGTAGTAGTAGTACTTCGGTAGTAAGAAGTTAATCAGTAATAATTTGTTTTATTCTGTCTCTCTATCCCCTGTTCTGATTCCATATTGTTCACACCACAGTAGTCATATAGTAGTAGTAGTAGTAGTAGTAGTAGTAGTAACAGCAGTAGCAGCAGAAGTATCTCAGGTAGTATTATAATATATAATATATTATATATTATAAATAGGTGGTTCCTGCTTCAATTTGCCTTTATACGTATAAATATGATTTGTGACATGTTTATGTAGTAGTAGTAGTAGTAGCAGCAGCAGCAGCAGCAGCAGCAGTAGTAGTAGTAGTAGTAGTAGTAGTAGTAGTAGTATCTCAGGTAGTATTATAAAATAGGTGGTTCCTGCTCCAATTTGTCTTTATATGTATGAATGTGATTTGTACTTTATGTTTGTTTATGTAGTAGTAGTAGTAGTAGTAGTAGTAGTAGTAGTAGTAGTAGTAGTAGTAGTAGTAGCAGTAGCAGTAGCAGTAGTGGTAGTAGTAATTTTGGTAGTAATATGAAGCGACAGCAGCCCAGTAGTGTGTCTGAAGTTTGGCGCTTCAAATACTGACATAAACATCGTTGGTAGATCAGATATAGTTGCAGCTGCCACACATGAATGCTGTCACTGTGTCATTGGGCAAGATACTTCACCTCCCTTGTCCTCCAGTGTCTGCATACAGTATTTGATAACAGTGTCTCACAACTGCCCATGTTGACCCTTCCTCTCCTCCCCCTCTCTTCCTGTTTGCTCTCTCCCTCTCTCCCTCCCTCCTCCCCCTCTCTTCCTGTTCGCTCTCCCCCTCTCCTCTCTTCCTGTCTGCCTCGTCCTGCCCCCGCTGGCCTCGCAGAGATGAAAGAGAGGAACCCCTGGCACACGCCCCTCACCATCATCATCGCTGTCGTCGGGGTCATCGCCATCGTTGCCCTGGTGACCGTCGCCGTGCTGCAGAACAAGCCTCTCACCCCCAAGTATAAGGTAACAGCGCTCAGGATTACACAGTACACATACAGCGGTTCAAAGTACTTCTTACTAGTTTTAATCAGTCACTATACATATATATATATATATTTTATTTATTTTTTTCATTCACAATCGCATTAGATAAGCCAGATGCAAGATGCATTGTTTTGAATGTTTTAGAACAAGTGCTACTTTTCCACACCTGTCCATGTAAAAAAAAATTATAAATAAAAATAAATAAACTACATGCATAAAAACAAATAAGGCAAGACACATAAGTTAAAAGGATAAAATATACACAGTGGTCCCTTGTTTATTTTATAAAGTGTGGATTAAGTTTTAAAAATAACCCACAATAGGCGAAATCCACAAAGAAGTCAGCTTTATTATTATACCTGTTTTAAGGCTGTAAAATCCCTCATCACACACTTTAAACACTTTTCTCAGACAGGACGGTTACAACCCTTTTTGCGTCCTTCCTAAAACTTATTGCTGCTGTCGTCCTTTTGTTATTTTCCTCCTTCTTTATGTAACAAACCGAAGAGTCATTTATTCCGTAATGTAGCCTACAGTTTGGAGACTCGCACCAGTGCAGTACAACACCGCACCCGCCCGTTAACCTGAGATTATATCAAACGTTTGCACTGCACACGCCACAGACTGAACCAAGACTAAACCAGGACTAACCCAGGACGACCAACCTAGGACTGATTACAGGACTGAAACAGGAGGAATAAACCAGGACTGAACTAGGACTAAAACAAGAGTAAACCAGGACTAAGCCAGAACTGAAACAGAACTCACTGTCGGGACGGGCTCGGGGGTGACCGCAAGAAAAAAAGACCGGCACAGAGCTCCGCACCTCACCAAGGTAAACAGGGCCATCGCCCAATTGCACTTTGCGGACACCCTGCTCCATGGGCTTGTTGTTTTCTCTCTTAAGTCCAAGATTAGTCCTGGTTTAGTCCTGATTTAGTCCTGCCCCATCAGTGTGTAATCACTGCCTGCAGCATACCGCCCGTACAATTCCAAAACGTTAAAACCCGCCCATTTTAGCAACTGTTTGCCCGAACCCGACCTGGTGCAGGACTCTGCTATAGCGTGTAACTTCTACCTTCCTTCAGCGTGTCTAGATGTGACTTTTTGTGCGATGGTTAGAACATCTTCCTCTGTCTTTGGGTGCGACCGCAGGAGCCTTTGTCAGTGCAGAACATTTTGTCACCATTGTGGGTTTTGTCGGGGAGAAAACTTGCAAACATACAGCACTTCAGACTCACACTGCTAAATTTGGCAGCTGAATACATTCTGTACTGTACAGGAGACACAGCACGGAGGAGAATGACTGACAATTGTCTAGAGTCCTTTAGCCAATCAGGACGCAGGGGGAGGAACACAATGCATGTTCATACACTGTAAAAAGAAAAAAGCAAGCAAAATTGCACATTAAAAAAATCAGCATAACAGCAAGGCTGTGATGTTTCCTCATCAAAAACATCCCTGGAGTTGTGTTTTGTTTCATTCACACATGTTTGAGTCACCCTGTTTACATCTCCACAGCTCAAATTGCTGCGTTCAACCTTGTGATGTCATGAAGCTGTAGTTTTCAAGTTAACAGCCACCATGTTTACTTTTTGGTCAGTAGGGATTGGCAGTACAAGTGAAGGTGTGTGGAGTTTAAAAACTCAGTGGAGCCTGTATTATTATCACATGACATTACAAGCTGGAACAGAGTGTTTTCTGTTCTGAGAGAAGAACTCAGCCTAAATATCCAGGGTTTGGGTGTTAAACGTGTGAACTGAACAACACAACAACACAACTCCATGTCTGTGACGAGAAAACAACATTAGAACACACAGTAGATCACAAAATAGCCTAATATGGGCTCTTTTAAATGCACTGTCCTCAAGGGTTCACTCTAAAAATCACTACACAGCTAAATATAAATAGTATTATGATAACATTGCAGTTAAGATCCTAAAAAACTGGAATGCTGGCTTTAGTTGTTTCCATGTTTTCTAAAATGTTGCTCTTAAATCAGTCCCGTCAACAAAACTTTGGCGGTCCAGCGCAAGAAACGTCACATGGGCCCCCTCTAATATAAATGATTAGGAAGAAAGTCCAACTCTGAGCCTTGAGCATTGTGAACTCAAACTTTTCTTTTTTCCTTCTGCAAATATTTTCACAGTTGCAATAGAAAAATTTTGTATAGCCTCATTTCACACGGGTATGTATGTGAACAAAGCAATGGACAAATCCCCGCTTGAGTGCCTCTGTCTGCTCACTTTCCCCTCCACAACTTTCTAAATATTATTTTACACAAATTGAGTAATAACACTGTAAAACCGCACTGTGGTTTGGCTAATGTCACCGTGGAGCAGGACCAATAGAAAGAACATGGGAAAAATTACACTGAAGATTACACTATTCATAAAACTTGAAGTGGCGACATGCAGCTTTCCTCTTAAGGCGTCCACCACCTGTTTGCCTCCGTGGAGATGTTCTTGCTTCCTCTATAATGTTCCGCATTACTGTATCAGTCTTGTGTTTATTCCATTAAAGGGACAGTCTGGAATTTTGGACTTTTGGAGACGTGTGGAGACACTTTTTTAAATATTCCATCCAGTCCTTGTATTTGCAGAGGTCACTGGTGCTAGACTAGTGCATGTCAATGGTCATATTTATCCTGCCACTAAAAACAGTCTTACCCACTCCACAAAACACCCGAAGCAAATCTATTATTACACCAGACTGTCCATGTGAATGTCTGTGTCAAGAGAATAATTTTAGAAGTAAAACCAACCTTGCATTTGGAGGATTTATGTCTGAGCAGCAGCAGCAGTGAGTTGTACTTCCTGATACAAAGCTTGGCAGCGGCGGACTGATATATGAGAAAATAGTCCCTCAACATGCGACGATTCATGTGATGCAAGGTTAGTTTTATGTCAAACATTATTCTATCAACACAGACATTTACATGGACAGTCTGGTGTAATGATAGATTTGTTTTGGGTGTTTTGTGGAGTGGGTAAGACTGTTTTTAGTGGCAGGATAACTATGACCATTGACATGCACTAGTCTAGCACCAGTGACCTCTGCAAATACAAGGACTGGATGGAATATTTAAAAAAGTGTCTCCACACGTCTCCAACACTCTGGATCACTAGGAAATGAAGTCCTATGTCCAAAATTGCGAACTGTCCCTTTAAAGGTATGTTTAATTTCTATAACAATACGAGACATGGGGGCTCACCTATATAATTTTATTTTTTATTTTTTTTTTTTTTTTACAAAAGAATGAGAACTTCACACATCAGTTACTTGAGATGGGTGCGTTGGAAGAGAGGGAGCAGCCCAAGAACATGGAGAAAAATCCCACACACCATCTTACTTACTAAATTGTGAGATTCACGGTTTGTCCTAATAAATCTCACAATTTCTAAGTAAGACAGTGTGCGGGTTTTTTCTTTTTACAAAATGGTTTAGTCATGTAAAGCCCGGTTCATAAATGCCAAATCTATGTTATTTGTAGAACCCAATATTATTAGATTTTTTTTTATTTTATTTTATTGTTTATTACCTTTTGTTGATTTTTAAAAGTGCAACTTTTGTGTAACTTTTCTGGTGGAGGGTCCATCAAATCCTCCACTGAGATGTTATTGCTTTGTCTGAAATGTTTCACAGTATGGCTTTAAACCTTTCTATCACCATGGAGACCAAACCAAATCAAGTTTACGGGTCAGATCTGCGGAGAGGCGACCCTGCTTCGTCAGAATTCTTGTTTTTCTAGGTGTTTTTGAGCTATAAAACAAGCTGAAATTGAATAAATGTAAAGTAGAGCTGTTTAATGTCACACTTTGGAACATTCCAGGCAGAGCAATGACATCTCAACACAAACAAGAACAGAACATGACGGATCCTCTGCCAAAAAGTCACACACCGCAGCTTTAATGTTATCTTTATCTGCGCAGCTCGTTGAAAACTGTTTGCTTATAAAATCTGCTATTTAAAGAAAGCAGATTTGGATTTGTAAACACGTAAAATCCAAAATCCGTCTCATATTTACTCTAAAACCAGAGATTACATGCAGATCTGTTACTTCTGCTCAGTCTCTTCTGCAAAGGCGTAACTGCGTAGTGTCCAGATGATCAAAGTCAGTCTTGTTTATGTGAAATCTCCTCGCTTTATCTGCTTCCTTGTTAAACTGTGGGAGTCTTCTGCTGCGTCTGATCCAAAGATCCGAATGTCCAGAGTTCACTGCCCAAATATGGAGGCGAGTTAAAACAACCTGAACCTGTGACTCTGCGTTCTATCTCACGCCCGTATAAGGTCGAGCGAGCGGTAATAATAATAAAGATGATGTGTTCTTTCTGTCAAACGCGAAAAATGAAAGCAGCTACTCTGTGATGCGTCAAACTGTGAGCGCAAATGACCGCAAGTTAAACAAACCTTCTGTTAAATATTTTCTATGGAACTGTTAGCAGAATAATATAACATTACACTAGTAAGATTATATTGAAGTGGATTATATTTTTTGCTCATTAAGAAGATGGCTTTAGCGACAATAATCGGTTAATTTCGCCTGCTTGTCTCTATGAAGTTGTTACTGCTTTCTTTGTCTGGAAAGTTCCACAGTATGGCATAAACTCTGCGTAAATCTCCATGGAGACAAGCAGGTGACACCACTAAGACAAGTTACATCTTTAATCCGCAGAGAGCCAACCCTGCTAACCAACATTTTTATTTAGATTTGCAGTAATAAAACACTTTAATTTATGGAATGAAGCATATATACTAGTATGTTTAATGCCAGATTGTGGAACATTTCATAAATCCTGACTTAGGCTACGTTCAGACTGCAGGGCTTAATGCTTAATTCAGATTTTTTTGTGAAATCCGATGTTTTTGCGAGGTCGTTCACATTTCCAATTAAATGTGACTTGTATGTGATCTCCTGTGTGAACATTAAACGGCCCAAAAGTGTCCCGCATGTGCACTGGAGACACGATGAACCTCAG